GCGAGACGACGAGATTAGCGTTTTTCTTTGCGAACCTGAGACTTCAAAGTGTTTTAAATGCGAACTCAAGACGTTCAGGTTCTAAGATGTTGTGATGTCATTTAACTTCAATAAAAAAAAAAATAAAATAAATAAACAAATCGGTACTTCGCGACTGCAAGACGCACATAACCGCTAAAAAACGAGACTGCGAGACCCGTAAAATTCGGCAAAAATTTTGCGAGACCCATGATTTTTGAAGGACCATTCCCACCCCTAGTATTTGAAGTCCAAATTTTTATACGTCTAAAACTCGGTTTGATCAGACAAAAAATTGATGGCCTGCAACCTTTACCCTTGGAGTCATTCCTTTGGAGAAAAGAAATAAATTTTCTTTGACACTTAAGTCGCGTCAATCCTAATACTTGAAAACTATCTGTTAACACTGGCTGGGGAATGAAACTCAGTCAATGTAAAAAGCTTGAATTTCTGCCTTCGCCTCTGAACAACACTTCAATTTGATAAATCTTCAAATCGATCATTGTAATCCTAAAATATGTTGTTTGTTTTAGAAACGATATTCGTAAAGAACCTTGTTAAGTAGACCCATAAAAACAAAATTAATAAGTCTCTTCATAAGCTTTCCGGAGTTTTGTCATGTTTAGTGATCGCAAATTTTTAAGGCCACAAAGCGAGTGAAGTATTTTAGTTTTCACGTTATCTCATCGAAAAAAGTCACCACAGTTCACTGCGTTGATTATTTTACGCGTAGAGGGCGGTATTACCAAATGCCTTTGGTGTAAGAATTTACAGAACTCAGCCAGGCAAATCGACGAACAATAGTGATTCAGTGGTTTAATGAAGGGAACGGGAATTCTTTTTCGGCTACATAATTACTACCATGGGCGTTTGATTACCAAAATTCTTCATTCTTCTCTATAGCTGAGAGTTGAAGCTACTCATTATTATACTTTCCTGGACCATTTTGTGATCAACAAAACTGAGAGAAAGACGCATCCCGCAATGCTAACATCGGCAAATAATTGAAGGTCGAAAGATCTGGAAAGGCGACTTACTCAACGTGATGTCCATGGTTCCTGATGACCCCGGAATTGTTCTTCTGGATTTGTTTTTCTAGTTGAGTAAATCGGTCTAAAAACATGGAGAATTATCAAAATATATAGAAACGTTCATCTCACCGAGATCTATGAAGTAATATGGCCTGACCGATGATGGATTTCACAAGAGCAATAAGCCAAAGGAAAGATGGACAAATAAAAACTGACACCTTTCTCGATTCGCTTGTGAGACAGATGTCAGTTTACACGGTGGCTACCATAGGTTTATTTCTTATCTTAAAGGAATACTTGATCGGTAAGTACATGTATATATCTGTGCATTCCACGATGTTATAGTTTCGCTCATTTCGTGCGGTTTAGCTTGACGTTTGGCATATTAGCTCTGTCAAAGGATTTTTCTCCCCCGTTTTACTCTAAAGCTCAAAACATTGAAATCTCCTCGCCAGTTGCTGTACATTTCTTTGATATTTGATCTGAGAATTTCAGTCTTCGAGTATATTAAGCTAGGAAAGACGATGAATTACTGGTAAATATTAGCCTGAATTCCAGCCGTCTCTCTATAAGCACCCAGAGGAAACGGCTAAAATTAGCCTAGTTATCTTTTCGAGTACAAAAACATTCACGTGGTCGCCTAAAATTTATAATAAATTTCAAAAGATAGCTCGGGTTTACAAGCAAAAGTTCACAGGTAGGGTAACCCTACAACCTGGGACAACTTAATACGCGGTTACACTCAAAGGGTCTGGAAACAAGTGGAAAGTTAACCCAGGTAGGTTAACCCTACCTGGAGTGTTTGCAAGGGAAACTGTTAACCCGCCTGCCAGGGTGACCCTAGCACGCAGATAGGATAACCCACCTACCCGGTAACCCTGGCTGCCTTCTAAAATCGACGAAGAAAAAAAGGAGGAAATGTGTGAGTGCTAGGGTAACCCGCTTGCTAAGGTAGCTCTCTCTCCTTGTAACCAGGCCTTAAGTTAAAAACCACACTCGGAATTCTTCTTTATTCTCTATAAGCATATTTACCACTGAAACTGAAACTTAAAATAAATTTAACTGGTCTGGTTTTCATTTCGAAGGTTCGTTTATCGTCTGCCAGCCAATCAACAGGGGCGTCAAAGTAAACCTGTCCTACGATCAATCACAAGCAGATTACGATAAGGCTTACTGCTCCATGTCCATGACAGATTTTGCAGAAAATCTCATTGTTGCAACAGGAAGTGAGCCCAACACAATCCCCGGAGTGACTATCATGGGGATCAAGTCAGGGGAAGGACGAGTCATCTATCAGAAACTTCTCCCATTTGCGTTCGTCATTCAAGCTGCGCTCTGCTGCATTCCAACAATTTTGTGGAATATCTGGGCTTCTGAAATACTTCGTGCTTCTGTTAGACTTATTATGGATATCTCAAGGAAGATCTCTCCTGCAGTGGACAGCTCAAGCCACGGATTAACCAGAAAGAACCAAAGTTATGAAATCTTTTTCGAGGATCTAAGCAGTCAAGTTGACTTTTGGGGAGAAAGGAAATTTATTGTCGGAGTTTACACTACAAGGTTAATGCTAAACCTAGGCATCTTCATTCTTATTGTTTGTTTTTATTTGACATACCCCATTCTCAATTATTATAGCCTGCAAGGGTTGTTCATATGTCACGTGCACAAGCAAACCTTGGTCACGTGCGCTTTTCCGGGTATTGACTTGTTCAAGTTAGTATGGATCGTGAATATCGTTCTTGTGGACGTTTCGATTGTCATCGTTGTTCTTCAACTGATTAACGTTGTTTTCTGTATGCCACGTAAGAAAACGTTTTTCTCATGGTACTTAGGAGTGGAAGAAAGAAAAAAATTTCGAATATCCAATGATTCTCATTTGATCTCGTACTTTTGTTACGAAAACGTTGGTGCTATGTGTCCTCGAATTGTGTCTAACTCGCTTAGTCAAAGAAAGCCATTGTATTCTCCGCTTATCTCATTCGGGAGTTCGGAGGAGGAGTTGCGTTCCTCTAACTCAAGTTCATCTATTTCATACAATACAGCGCCTCAGCTATTCAAACGAGAAATCACTGAAGGGGAAAAGGGATGAAGCAATTCAGAAATAAGGAAACAGATCCGAAACAGTTCTCTGTGATGATAAAACAAAAGCTCACGGAGGTCCAGGAACAAAAGCGTTTTACTCTCTCCTCTGCTGAATCTGTTAGAGCAAAATAGGATAGAAACTACATCAGAATGTATGTTTTGGGAATTTAAGACTTAAATACATTAACAAAAGTTAGGAGATATAACCGAACATAATGTCAGGAAGTACTGAAATACAACCGTTGAAAAGCCATAATAAATTTCGAGGATCCATCTACACTACGAAGATATACGCATGTTAGTCGCAAACGTAAAGCTGCAATGCGAGGATGTTTTTTCAGTTTTAAAACGCGGCCATTTCCTATTGTCAACCTTGAGACAATCCCCTGCATCGACTAGACAAGAGCTACTTCTAGTTTCCTTGTTACTTGTTCTTAACTTCTTATTCCCAAACACCTTGCAAAAAATCCCTAGATCTATGGATAACACAAATTTTGAAGTTTGTAAAAGTACAGCAACCTTAATAAACATGTCAAAATTTTAAATATTCGGTATTGGGTGTGGGCTTTCAAGTTGAAGGTTATTTAACTTCGTTTACACACACCCTGTCACCGTCTACTCTAAACAATCCACAAATAGACAAGAACTTCAGAAAGACAGATTTCACGGAGCACACTTCAATCACGCTATTCACCAAAGTCAAGAGGTCGTTAACCAAAACACGTGTGTCATCGATTGGTACGAATTGAAAAGTGCAATCTATGTCCGTTAATTGGCCCGTTCCCCTGAGTTCTCTGGTGTTGACCATGGGAGGAGGAGGGAGGCTGAAATTCAGGCTACGGCTAGTTATCCAATTTTTAGAGAGAACATTGAAAAAGAGACTACTTTTAAGGATGTTTCTCTTGAGTTCAGTGACTTATGCCACGTCTAGTTCTAGTTATTCGCTCAGTTTACTCTTTTTTTGACCTTGTCGTTAGCTTCTCCCAGGCGGCAAAATCGGCCCTTACTTCTTGTCCATTATTGATAGCAAGCAAAACTCTTCAGCCGTTGTCCCAAACCGCGATTCAGCGAACGTTTGTACGTAAGCAGTAACTTAAAAAAACACTCACCATCAGGATTTCCATGACCGGCGCGGTGCGACGATACGATCGTTCGATGCACGTTTCCTTTCTTTTCATTTGGCGAGAGCGCACTACTTGACCTACAGGTTAATGCCTCCCGAATAATGGTCTGCTCACGCGTAATAACGTCTAAATGTAATTTGCTGCGACTCACTTGCTCCAAGTAATATTCTGCTCATGCGTAATTGTAACCACACTCTTGTATGAAAAATGGCAAATCGCTTCCCTCAGCTGTCAAAGAGAGATTCAAATGTGAAAACAAACTGGGTGATCTAATGATGAAACCATTATTGAACTCGGTTATCGCAAAATATCGTGATTTGTCAGTGTCTCGCATATCAATTATTTCCCCCAACTTCAGCAAATAATTATCTGCTAACCCCAGGCTTGGCAAATCATGATATTTTCCTCAACTTCTTTTTATTACAATTTCTCTCGCTTTGTTGTCTTTAATAACAGCCGTTTATGAAGAACACGACTTTGGCTTTCTACCAAAATGTATGTTCTGTCTGTTTCACTGATCTCATATGATTCCTTACTGTATCTCACATCTGTGAGAAAGTGAGGCATGTTGTAGCTAAATACCTCTGACAATTTTAATCCATCGCCCAGAATGCTATTGTCTTTTGTGACATGTACTTGCAGTGTCCAGTTTATCAACACGCGGCATAAAAATTTGCATGTCTAGAACTAGTCGGCTGTGATTGGTCAACAGATTTCAGCTGCTGTTAATCAAACGATTAGATGCATTAAAGCATAGTCCCCTCAACTAACTATGGATATAGGCAACAATAATGCACTAATTAAAGGCGCCCGGATGGAATCAGACTGTTTACTTTGGCCCCGTACACACTAATCCGCCACGAAAACGGAGTTTTTTTCCAAAAAAGCTCTTCACACCCGAGGAATTTGGAAACGCCGGCTTTGCGTGTTATTCTAAACTTAAAACACTTTGGAGATGGAGCTTTTCGAAAAGGACTGCGTCACGAAAATTATGTGACTTCCCTGCCCGAGCTTTTCCTCAAATAAAATCGAAAGAGCTTGACGGAAGACTATGACCGTAGAAACAAAGTTGCTTTTCAAATTTCTGGAGCGTAATGTGAACGGGGCCTTATCATTGGAGACGCAGAATTTTTCACATGAGTTCGTTCACTGAACCATAATTGTCAACACTTTGTCCCACACCTTTCCCATTTTCATTACCGGGCAACGCCGCAACGCATTGACAAAAATACGTCTACAAAGTTGGTCCCCGCTAATTCGAACTCGGTTAATAATTCATATTCCGTATTATTCCTAACTAAAACCCATTTCTCTTAGATCTTCTCTTCAAGCATTTACTTTCAGTTATTCCCAAACTCCCGTGGTTTTGAACTAGTTTTCGTTTTCCCTAAAGAGTTCGAAATAATGGGGTTCAACTGCATACACTGTTAGACTTGGTCGTGTCTTTATCCTCTCTTAAGATAGAATATTTGAACTTCATGCACGTTATCTTATAATACCCCATTTGTCATGGGTGCTCTTGCAGGGAAATAATGTAATCAATGCATATTGTTGAAATTATAAACAATTATTGGATGAGGTTTTTTGTGATATCCATAATAATCAAGGTCGAGGTAGGGGTTATCAGCCGAAGCCTAAGGCAGAGGCTGATAACCCTTACCAAGACCTGGATTATTCTGGATATCACGAAAACCGAATCTAATAATTGTTTTATTATACATTGAACGAAAAAAAATGGAAGTCATGTTTTTGCTTCTTCACTGACAACACAAAGCGCGCGAACTTG